ACAACAGAATAACAGAGTTGAGAGGGCTTTGGAGGTCTGCTAGTCTAACCCCTGCTCAAGTAGGAAACCCTATAGCATTTCAGATCAATGGTTGTCTAATCTCAACTTCCAGTGTTGGAACGCTCACAAGAGAAGTCATTCTGTCAGAGTTACAAGTAATAGATCCATCACAAGCAAAAACTCCGAAGCAGGTAGATTTCTCAAAAGAATAGCTTTATTGGAAATACCATATTGACACGTATCTGGTGAAAACAGACTCTGAGGATCCCATGGTTTCGCCTAATTAAAAGTGAAAGTCCCCCTCACCTCAGTTCCAAACAATCAGTCACATGGCTCAATCAAGGCAGCATCCGCTGGTCAGGTGACATCACGCCTCCTTCCTCTGGCAGGTGTGAAAATGTCCTTGATTCTCAAGAGAAAGTATTTTGTTTTGACTACAGAGCCCCAACTATCTCTAATCCCCCCTCCCTATCCCTCAGTGTGGCAGCACTGAAGCTCCAAGATGGCTTCAACCAGGCCAGCTTCAGGGTTGACACATTCCACTGATTAATTGTTCTGTCAGGAAATTTCTCCTTCGTTCTAGGCTGCTTCTCTCTTTGATTAGTTTCCATCCATTGTTTCTTGTCCTGCCCTCTTCTTTGTGGTATCCCCTTAGATACATGATCCAATGAAACTGAAGAGGAAGATTTCAAACTTCTGTTGGTCCATACAAGCAAAGGGAAAAGAGGAAATCTGTTGTTCCCTTCTTTTCTTGGAAATATCAGCTATCCCTAACATTTAAAAAAAAAAAAAACTTTTAAACAAAATTGTGTACCTCAGTAAAATTGGTAGCCCTGCGTAGTCTGGAAATAATCATAATGCACATCTGTATGAGGAAACGAAAACTACATGTTTTATCCCTGCCGAGAAATATTTGAAAACTGAAGGAAAGAAATTGTAAAATATCTGAGATCCATGGAAGCCAAAACAATAAGTAATTCTTGAAACACATTTTTGATTCAACTCATGCCAGTGTGCATTAGAGTTCACTTGAAAGTAAAAAAAATGCTGTGGAAATAAATAATTCTATGAAAGGCAGCATTGCATACCTGGTGGCAACATAATTTATATCAGGAAATTAAATCTGGATGTGACTGTGTTGATTGTTGCTTCCTGTAGAAGGCATGGCTGTATTTGGGGCTGGTTAGAAACATTGCTAAGAACTAAGCTTAAAAAGGTGCGATTGTAAATAGCATTATACTAGTGTCAGAGAGATGTCCTTGGTTCTTCCCTTCTGGCTTTCTCTTCTTGAGATTGTCTCAGGTGGTTGAACCCTCTTATAATCAAGCCTCTCCATTCCCATTGTGAATAGAGACATCACTTGTCCTTGCAATATTCAGTTCACGTGCCTGGCAAGTAACGCAGCTCTCAAAAAGGCAGGGGCAGACCAAGGCCAAGGTGAACGCCTTCTCTCCCCCCACCTGGGTTCAGATGGTGAAACTGACTGGACTGCGCTGCCTGCATCTTACTGAAAAGCAAAATTTATTTTATTTACTTGATTTGTCAATCACTTACAAGACAAGTATAACTATAAACATGAGTAAGAATACAGGAAATAGGTACGAATAAATGGGGACAATAGGACAGGGATGGTAGGCATGATTGTGCACTTATGTACACCCCTTACAGACTCTTAGGAATGGGGTGAGGTCAGTAGTGGATACGTTAAGGTTAAAGGAGTGGGGGTTACAGTCAGGTAGTGCGTTCCAGGCATTGACTACTCTGTTGCTGAAGTCGTACTTTCTGGAATCAAGTTTGGAGTGGTTTACATTGAGTTTGTATCAGTTGTGTGCTCTTGTATTGTTGCAGTTGAAACTGAAGTAGTCATTGACTGGTAGGACATGGTAGCAGATAATTTTGTATACTACGCTTAAATCCAACCATAGGTGGTGTAGTTCAAAGTTGTCCAAGCCTAAATTTTCAATCTTTTGTCTGCTGCAATACAGAAAATATTGATGACTGCTGCTGATGACTTTAATGTTGTGTTGCAAGAAATGTCCATCTGAGTTAAGTTCCACGTGGGAAGAAAGACACTGGAAACATGAAGGCTGATTACTCTTATTATAACTATTAATCTTTTCATCATTCCTATTACCCATCTCCTCCCACTTGTGACTGTATGACTGTAACTTTGTTGCTTAATATTTTTTTACTGTTCCTAGTATGATTTGATTGCTTATTTGTACCCTATGACTATCATTAAGTGTTGTATCTTAGGATTCTTGAAAAATGTATCTTTTCTTTTTATGTACACTGACAGCATATGCAACAAGACAAATTCTTTGTGTGTCTAATCACACTTGGCTAATAAAAAATTCATTCATTCATTGGAAAGATGGTTTAATGGTGGACAGGACCACATGGTTTGAAGTCCTGGGTAGCTGAGCACATGGAGTAGAGAGTGAGATATATTTATACCCTCTCTTGGGCTTTGAACTTGCTTCCTGTTCCTATGGCAAGAAATGTACTCTGATTGGTTGTCAGACTCCTATGGGACCATATGGGGTAACTTTGTAGGTTGTCTTGAGTCCCAGGCTTGGTTGAATTTTGCTGGGTGATGCAATTTTCCCAGGCGCCATGTACTGAGATGGGTAGAGGGCTAATCCTAGTATGTCCTGAGGGTGAAGGTCTTTTGTGTTGTGGATAGGTTGGCACCAGTCTTTCTGGAGCTATTAAGAAAGGTGAGGGTTGCTTTCCAAGAGCATGTTTCTCCTTTTCTCATCCAGGGTGGTATAACATTCTGCCTTTTTAATATTTCTTTGACTATTTCATTCTTCTAGGAGATGGGAGGGTGATAACTTTCTACAGTTGGTAAATGACTTGATGGCACCTAATCACTTTGAAAAGGTGCTATATACATTTGTTGAATAAGCAAATTGAAGTCCCTTGATGATGATGATTATTGTGGTAGTAGTTAATCTTTGGTGAGATTCACAACCTTTGGGGCTGGTTGGTAGCTCAACAGCTCGAGTCCTAACCAAGGACCTAGGAACTGTTAAGGTAGCGTCAGAGGATATAAGCTGTTCCAAATAGGGTAGTTTTTTTTTTTTTTTGTAGAATCAGGGTATTCAAGTCTGATAAATTTCCAAAATAGTGAACTAGCCCTTTCGGTATTGCTCCAAGGGCTCCAATTTCAATTGGGATAACACACAATTTCTTTTTCCAAAGTCGTTCAACTTCAATTTGTAAGTTCCGGTACTTTCTGATTTTTTCTTGCTGCTTAACTTCAATTCGTGCATCACCAGGTACTGCAACGTCAATGAACCAACCCTTTTTCCTTTTCCACAATTGTTATGTCAGGTGTGTTGTGGGCCAAGTGCCTATCAGTCTGAATTCTTTTGTTCTGAATTATTCTTATTACTATTACTATGGCTACTATAGGCTAGACATGGCTTTCTTCTGCATCTGGTGAACAAAAAGCTTGTTTTGGCATTGGAAGATAAATCTGCTACACACTAAGAGGCTTCCTCTGCAGCATCTGCCTGAGGTCATATCTGCTTGCCCCTTAAGAAGGGCAGCTACTATATATATATGCCTATTATACAGACTTGTATAATAGAGAAGAGGACATAGTATAACCAAGAGGATGGAGGGAAGGGAAAGGAAGTTAAGTACACAAGCCTGGGGGAATATGGGATAAAGCAAGCCAGGAAGTTAGGATGCACACTCATTCCTCTGATGCCCGTCTTTATTAAAGAGACGAATATACCGAACTCTCCGTAAGGATTATTCTCATGGGCAATTTCTTTTGCACGTACGTTGGGGTTTGCATTGTAGCCGGTTTAGCCCCCTTCAGGAGCTATAAATCAGGATGCAAATGGTGACCTTCAGGGAAGAAATACATGCCTATTATCACACGCCTACTGTTCTCGCTGTTACAATGACCCGTATTCTCCGGGAGTCCAAACTTCTCAATTGAAACAGCTCGCCTGGGGGGAAGGAAAAGAGCGGAGAGATCGCCCACCCCCCGCCCCACCAGCTATTTCAATTTCAGAGCCAGGTGAAGAATTTCCTCCCCCCCGCACCCTTTAAATCGAAGTTCTTCGATCCTTTTTTGGGTGTGGGTGGGCAGGAAGAGGGGGGAGATGGTTTGGGGTAGGAGGTCGGCGTGAAGGTTATTTCACAAAACACCTCAATATTTACCATTCCAAGGTCTCTTCCCACTCTGTTATTCTAAATAATTTCCCTTCCCCTGACAATACACTCTATTCAAAATGTTTATGTGTATATATATATAAATACTATATGTGTGTGTATGTGTAGATAGATAGATAGATAGATAGATAGATAGATAGATAGATAGATAGATAGATAGATAGATAG